AGCATACTCCCCTGTCTACTTATGATACCTCCCTGGCCCATTTCATTTTTATTTATTTATTTATTTATTTTTCTTTTAAATATATTTTCTAAAATGCCAAAAAAATCATAAAAAATATAAAAAATAATGGATTTATATTTTGACCTAATTTAATTATTTTTCCACATAAAAAATTATTTTTTATTCATTATACTTTATTTATCTTTATTAGTTATCTTGTAAATTAAATTAAAATTAGGTCATTTATTTATCTCTTTATACTTATTTAAATACATTTATTTTAATATAAAAAAAGACTAAAAATATTCCATAATACCACATATTATTTTCAAGACAAAAACACAAAAAATTACTTTTACTTTAAACTTAGTTTCTTTTAATCAACTAAAATAGATTTAGGGTTTCATATAAAAAATATTTTCTTAATTAAAATCTTTTCTTAATTAATTTCTTTTTCTTAACTTAAGTTAATTTAATTTAATTACTTTTTTTCTCTAATTAGGTTTAGGTTAAAACCTCTTTCATACAAAAATCCAAACGCAAAAATTATTTCTTTCAATTTGCATTTGTACTTTATATAATTCTTCAATTATTTCTACAATATTCAATTTGGTTGTAATAGATTAATTAGGTTTATATTATTGCAATCCCCATTCATAAATTGTATACCCCCTCCCATAAATGTTGTAATAGCGTAGTAACTTTAAATTTCGCAATTTATCGCTTTTACATAACATGCTAGTAATTAGGGTTTGTATGGCAAGATAAAACCAATCAAATAGAAAACCCTAATTCAAGACAAAATCAAGCATGAAAATAACACACTTGCACACAAGCACACCTAGGGTAAAATCCACTTGGTTGCCTTATACAAAATGGCCATATTACGTATGTAAGGTATCTTAGCAAAAACAAGTAAATACAAGATCAAAGTCCCTTGATGACGCTATTCAAAGTTGCCTTACAAATGATCTTAGTCCCTAAAAAAGAATGCTAAGATACCTTGCAACATTGCTATTCATGGCTATACGATGACCCACGTTTGTCCCGTTTACATTCAAAGATAGGGTTGCTTACCAAATCAATGGTAAGACAACAATGTCAAAGGAAAAGAAAATGAACAAGAAATACATTTGAGTAGGTAGATTGCTCCTAATTACTTGCTCCATTTCAAAACAAACATCCTTGCTATTTGCAAAACAAACACCTACACACTTCGAAACATCTTACAAAACTTGAAAACATTTTCAAAAGATCAACATCTTTGTATACATTCTTACGAACGAGAATCATTACAAAGATTGCCTAAATAATGACCTCTTTACCAAATACTTTGAAAAAACACACAAAGCACAATTTTCAAACAAAAGCAAGTGATCTAGGAAGTAACTAAGAGCCCATGGAATACCATGGATGAAAGGGATGCTAATACCTTCCCTTTTCATAATCTACCCCCCGAACTCAAGAAATAATCTCAAAGGTCTTTCCTGTGCTTTTTCACCCTTCCTTTTGGATAAAAGAAAAGTCGGTGGCGACTCTTGCTAACCGCAACATTTGCAATCAAACACAAAACCCTCAAGTCAGTTCTCCCACCGTATCATAGATGGCATCTATAAGCCCATCTCTGACAACTGTCCACCATCTCTCTAAATGGAATCTTTAAGCCCATTCCCTGCACAATCAACCACCACATCATCGAATGCAAATTTCTGGGCACTCTAGTATCCAATCATCTTCCACCTTCAAGTCACGAATGGCAGGTTTACCAATCTAACTCTTCAGGTTTAAGAAGATTGAACATGGGCAGCTGTTGTACCACAAAATTTTCCCTCTCATTTCTCAAGTGATCATCCTGGACCCTCAGGATTGCTTCTGTAAAGTTTCAAGTCTCGGATTACAATTTTCCAAGAAAGTCATTCACAAGGGAAAAATGGTCAAATGCACACTGAAAAGTCAAATTTTGACTTTTGATCAAAATCAAGTTTCAACAATCATATTTCATCAAGACATGAAATTGTTTCCTCAAGAAATTAAAAGTCAGAAATTACCTTAAAAAATAAAATTTCTAAACATTTAGAAAATTTTCTAATTGTTAAGAGAATATGATACTTCAGAACTTTTGGGCCAGCCTCCACACGAGTGGAATCAGAATTTGCATAGACGGTTCAAAACATGACTCTTCAATTAGAACATATGGAAACTGTGTTCTTCGATCAGAACATAACTCTTCAGCATATGGAGGCTACGTTCTATGCTTCGATCAGAGCCTCACCCTTCGAATCCCACTCAGGTCTTCTGCGATCAGAACATCACCAAATCCCAAAACCTCGTTTGAGCAGCCTGTTGCACTGCTATAGTACATTCCTGCATCCAGCTGCCACAACACTCCAAATTGCTGCTGATCCAGTCAACGCCTGCACTTTCTCAAACCCCATATTTGCACCAAATTAGCATATAAAAGCCGTGTTTAAAAAGCAATGGAACATTATGCCAAAAAGGTTTAAATCCCATTTGTTTTCCCCCTAAAACCACAGTAAAATCACCTATAAATAAGTTGTTCCATCACACATTCAAGGGGCTGGCTTTTGAAAAGAGAGAATTATCAAAGAGAGAAAAGAAAACAATCAAACATTCGTAAACCCAGAATTCCCAAACAAAAAAAACCTTTGTTCTTCCCTTTGAATCAAAGAACGTAACGTTATGTTCCGTTCCTTGCTAACACTAGAACATCTGAAGGCAGCAGCTCAAGTCCCAAACACACGCTTCAGATTCAAGGTAAGTCTTTCTGACTTTGAATTTTTTCATTCAGAACATCATTAAATATGTAAATATCATAGTGTTGATGTTGTCCATATCATTGCATAAGTAAAAAAAACTGTGGATCAGATCTTCTTGAATAAAGCTAGGCTCAGAATTAGGATTAGAACTTCCATAAACTGTCGTGCTTTTATCTTTCTGATTTGCTGTTCTTAAGAACTGAATAAGTTGCAGATGTTCTGACTAATGTAAGGAAGGAGGTGAAGTGTAACACAGAAATTCCGAGTTTTCTTTCCCACTGTTTTAGCACAACACAGAACTTCTGAGTTCTCCTTACTGTTTTAACACACCAGAACTTCTAGCTTTTCACATTATTATGACACAACACCAGAATTTCTAGACTGTCTTACTGTTTTAACACACAAAACTTCTGAGTTCTCCTCACTATTTTAACACACAGAACTTCTAGACTTTCCCACTGTTTTAGCACACACATAACTTCTAGGTTTTCACACTACTATGACACAACACCAGAATTTTTAGGCTTTCTTAGTGTTTTAACACACACATAACTTCTAGAATTTTTTCTCACTGTTTTAACACTCAGAACATCAACGCGTAGCAACCCAGAACTTTTGATTTCCTTTGACGTTTCTTTCTGAGCCACAGCGCGCCTGGCATCAGAACTTCTGGTCCCCTTTATTTTACTTTCAGTAACATGATGATCCTATTTCTCATTATTTTTCCTTTTTTCTCTCTCTTATTTTTATCATTTTAGGATTAGAACTATTTTTATTAATATAAAAAGACATGAAAAATATTTTCTTTTATTAAATAATTATTTTCCTTTTAATTTATTAACATAAAAAATCATTTTCAAAACAAACCTTTTCCTTTTCTTGTATTGTACAATTCAATATGGTTGTAATAGATAATTAGGATTTAAAATTCTCGCAACCCCCCATTTATAAATTTTTACCCCCATCCCTAAATGATGTAATATCGTAGGACTTTGCATTTCTGTAATTTATTGCTTTCAAATATAAATGCTAGTAACTAGGGTTTGTATGGAAAAACATAAAATCACCAAATAGATAACCCTAATCAAGACTAAATGCATGTAAATCAAACACACAATTCACACTTTCACCCCTAGGGTATTCTCACTTTGTTGCCTTTCGGAAAATAGTCATGTCCCTCGAATATGAGCGTTTTAGCAAAGACCCTCGATAAAAGATCGTAGTCCCTCAACGACCCTTAATGTTGCCTTTTGGTAAACGATCTAGTATCTAAACAACATTGCTAAAATGTTCCATAGGTTGCCTTCTATGACTATACAAATGTCCCACGCCCGTCCCTTCATATCAAACAATGAGGCTTCTTACCAAATCAATGGTAAGATAGCAACATCAAAAGGAGGAGGAAAAGAACATTAGACCTTTTGAGTAGGTAGGATGCTCCTAGTTGTTCACAACAAAAAAAATTTATACTCTAACACTTCACTTTGAAATATCTTTCAAAACACAAAACACTTTGTACGCGTTCTTATAGAGACGAGAACCATTACAAAGAGATTCTTTTTCAAAATACTTTCAAAAAACCACATTACAAACACACTTTCAAACAAAAAAAGCAAGTGATCTAGCAAGAAACTAAGAGCCCGTAGATAACTACGGATGAAAAGGGTTCTAACACCTTCCCTTTTCATAACCTACCACCCGAACTCATGAAAATATCTCGAAAGGTATTTCATGTTCTTTTTAGCCTTTCCTTTTGGATAAAAGAAAAGTCAATGGAGACTCTTGCTAACCGCAACAATTGCGATCAAACTCAAAACACCCAAGTCAGTTTTCCCACTGTATTACAACTCCAACTAAGATGATTGGTATTTTGACTTTAACTATTCCAGACATTAAATTGCAGTAAAAGTGTTCATGGTGGTTTGTTTATGTCTCATTATAATCAATTGTTACTTGTTGATGCTAAAAGGGACGTTTAAGTGCATTGGCTAACTAAAGAATTCAGGATGGATTCACTAAGTTTTTGGTAATTTCTATTCTTTCTAAAGGACTGATGGCTTTGACATTCACATAAGTCAGTTATGTGATCAAGTTATGAAGGTATATGTCATCAAGGAAGAATGTTGTTTGAATTTCTTTGAAGATTTAAGAACAATTTCTATGTGTGGAATCCACAAGTATTTAATTACTCATCCTTATACTTGATGTTCAAAAATGAATAAGTCAAGATGTCACACCAGAAGGTGCAACATCAGATAGTTGCAAAAGCTGCCAAAAAACTGCATAATAATGCCAAAAGCTCCTGTCAAAACTGTCAAAAAACAATTCCAAAAATTTGTCCACAAGGAAACAAGGTCCTACTGCTTTGTCATTGTCCAAAATGCTGCTACTGTAATGCTTTTGTTGCTGCCAAAAACCTGCATCATAAAGCAACAAAACAACGGAATAATCCCATTAAAAATAAAACACATTTTGGCTCCAATTATCCTTGATTGACATTATAAAGAGAGGCCAATAAACATAAAGAATACATATAGTAAAAATCCCAAAAAGAAAAAATAGAAGAAAAACTCTGCTCAATACCTCCATCACTCCTCACTAATTTTCTTTTCCATCCCTGCATTATTCATCATCCATTAAACACCTATAACCGAAAAACCACATAAGTGCAAAAAACCTACAGGAAAAAAATCACCTTAAACAACCCTTCACACAACTTCTAAAAATCAATTCCTTCATCAGCTTGCAGTTGGCAATACAGAACAACATTCCACATGCACTTACAACAACATGTCAGAACAACAAATAACACTTACATTCGAAGAAATATATACAGTATCGTCTTCTTCATCTTCAAATGTGTTAACACCAAAATCAAAGTTTTGAGATCACAAAAAAATATCTCAATGCTTAATTTTATAGGATTGTTCCACACATTTGTTTTGGTTTGCCAATTCATCATTCTTCAACCCTTTATTTCTGCTTCAGGAAATGCTGTTGATTTGTTTGAGAAAGCTTCCCAAAGTATAAAAGGGAGACATTATACTAAGGCACTCAATGATATAAATTCTACAATTTAAGCAGATCCAAACCTTTCAGAAGCATACCATTATCGTACTACTGTTCACGGCCAGAAGTGATAATCGAGAAGTGGCCTTCGTTATTTGGTGATTGTGATGAATCAATGAAGAAAAAAGATAAGGTGATGGTGATGAATCAATTGGGATTTCGATGGCCATTTGTGAACTGAAAGAGAGAGTTAACACGAAGAGAAAATAGCGTGAAGAGGAAATTGACGGCTTTCTCTTGTTACTAGGTTTTTTTCCTAACCTATAGGCATTTGTAAGGTGAGAGATGGGTCCGGACCAGACCCGGTCCGGCCCAGCTAATGTTTTGTTATTTTGTTTTTTATTATATATAATCTTTTTTTATTAATCTTTGGACCTTTATGCTTTTAGATTTTTCTTAGCCTAGTCTAAATTACTGCTTACATCCACCAAGTTGCCATATACGACCATCAGAATTATGTAGTGTACACTCCTATATTCTGCTCACATTCTTAAATATTTTTTTATTTCTTTCGTTTAATTTTTGTCTTTTTTTAATTTTCAATAATCTTATAGTTTTTATTATTATTACTTCTAAAAAATTGTTACATTGACTTTGGTATTACTAATTTTTTTTATTATTAGTAAGCTTAGTTGTAAAAATTAATTTAGTTTAGATTTAAGTTAGTATTTTTATTATTAATATAGTTTACATTAAATTAGTAATATTGTAAAGAATTTAATTTATACTTAAATTAGTTTAAATGTAATTTTAGATATTTTTAGGATTAATTTAGTTTAGATTAATATTTTTATAATAGCTTAGATTAAAATTAGAATTTTATAATTAACTTAGTTTACATTTAAACTATTTTAGATATAATTTAGTAATTTTATAGATTTAATAACTTTTGAATTTCTATTTAGATTTAATTTAATAACTTTAGAATTTCTATTTAAATTTAATTTAATAATTTTAAAATTTTTATTTGATTTAGATTTTATTTAATAACTTAGAATTTTTATTTGATCTAGATTTAGTTTAATAACTTCAGAATAATTATTCTTAATTAAGTAACCTTGGAATTTTAATTTAGTTTAGATATAATTTAATAATCTTAGAATTTTTAATTTGCTTTAGATCTAATTTAATAATCTTAGAGCTATTTTTATAATCTTAGAATTTGTAATTTAGTTTAGAATTATTTTAGCAAGTGATCTTAAATTTTTAATTTAGTTCAAATAACTTCTTTAGATAATTAGTTACAATCTCTTTTATTTTTATTTAAATATCTTTGTCATTTTAATTTCTCGGTTCCTTTAGGTCATTAACCTGTTTCATTAGATTTATTTTCTTGTGAATTTTCAGATGCTTATATTTTGATATTCATTGTATTTTACTTGCTCGATTTATTCTAAGGGAAATGTCTTAACTTTGTTGACTTCATGTCATCAAATATATCAGTTACGATTGTGCGAAACCCTTCATATTTTTTTAAATTTTGTTCATCTTAAAATAAATTTTCCTAAAAGACTCAATTTTAAAACTCACACCCTTTTAAGTCAAAACTTCTACACTAGGTCATCGTATCTTCAAAATCTCATTCACACCCATTTTAGCCAAACAAACAATTTTAACCAAAAAAACAGATATTTCGAAAGGTTCCTGCGGAATACCGCAGATGCATTGGGTGCTAATACCTTCCCTTTGTGTAACTAACCCTCGAACCTTCGACCTCTTTCAAAAATGAATTGTATTTTCATTACTTTTAAGTATTACTTTACATTGCATATTTAAGGGTTTTATTTCTCTCTTTTTCATTTTCCCTTGGAAATAATAAAGCGCGGTGGTGACTCTTGCTTATTTGCAAGTCAAGTTAATTAATAGCTTGATATATGATTTTCACCGCTACAGAATTGGAGACTCTGCTTGGGAATAAAGATTGACTTCTTGCTGGTCCATCCCTAAGTGGGTTAAGCTTAATTTGTCATATCTGTTTTTATTATTATTTGTTAGTTTTTTTGATTTTATGTTATATATTATGGTTATTTGGGTGTTGATGGTACTTACAAAGGGCAAGTCATATACTCGAACTAAGTTACACTTAAGAATATGACAGGCGGTATAGTCATGTTAACTTTGAGGGAGTAATCCCGAAGAAGGAGACACGAAATCCCCCACTCAGTGGAGGCCCCTTTGACTGTAGTATTCGTTTACCGAGTAATTGGGAAGATGATATTTCTTTTGACCTGGGAGCCAGAGAAGCTGATAACTGTAGAACCCTTAACCCATATTGGCTTCTTAGGTGTAGTGCAGATACTATAATAGAGTAATCCAAAAGTATTTGTCACGCGATGCTGCACTCAGACGAGTTTCTCTTGAGAATATTGCTAATTATCGAGTAATCGGGACCCTGGTAATATCCGAAGGAGGAACGTAGACTCTTGGAACTTTTTGAACCTTGTTTTAAAGGTGTGATTAAATCCTTATTATATACCTTGGAGGTGGTCTTTACCTTTGGCTCCATGTTCGTAACGTTGAAACTTTCAACTTCGTTTGTGACCTAGCTTGTGGTTGTTACATAGCCATGCCTTCATGCATCCATGAAACCCTTTTTCACTTGATTTTCAAAGAATTTATAAGTCTTTCTTATTAAACCTCACAAGTTTCATCAAGGTCAATGTATCTTGGGTGTTGATGGGGTGAAAACCCTAATCCACCAAAATGGATGTGTGATCTTCATGATAACTCGATCAATATTTTGATCCGATCTAAAATTCATCTTCTATATTCATACTTTGATGTTTACAACTTAATATCTCGAGTTCCTTGAAAATCAAATAAAAAATCTCTTTTGCATATCATACATCATTCTACATTTTTTGTTTCACTTTCAAAAGTCATTTCCAAGCCTTATTTTCCTTTGGTCCCACCAGTATAACACTCGCGCTAAGAGAATGGTGGAGAATATCTAGCAAGAGGTTTCTGAACTCCACAGAGAGATGACTAATTTGAAAGCTAGTATGAAGCACTTAATTGGTTTGGTTGAAATTTGGGTTTCCACCCATGTCAATCCTTCTACGAAGGAAGAAGCAACGACAAAGGTCTTCACTGAAACTCTAAAATCATTCTTTCATGAGAAGATGATAATTAATGCACCTAGTTATTTTCTTGACAAGGTGAATGTGGGAGTGCGTCTAGAAGAAGATGTCTGAAAGGGATATTTATATGAAGATGGTGGCTCAGCTAGTGGTGTGAAGAAGTTTGATAATTACTTTTCGAAGAAGAGAGCTAGAGGAAGAAATAATCATTGCCAAAATCATCATGTTTCTCCTATCATCCATGTTTTCAATTTACCTTCTGCAACTCCAATTCATCAATAAAATCAGCAAGTTCTTAATCAGAGGGAAACTTAATTTGATCCAATTCCAACGACCTATGCGGAGTTGTTTCCTATCCTGATGCCGAGGAATTTGGTTCAGACTCGACTTCCACCGAAGATTCCTGAGAAGATGCTATGGTACTGCAAAGCTGATTTGACTTGTGCATTTCATCAAGGAGCCCATGGGCATAGTCTCGAACATTGTTATTCATTGAAAGCTGAAGTCCAGAAGTTGGTCAGAAGATGTATCTTTTCATTCAAGGACGTTGGTCTTGAAGTTCAAATCAAGCATTTTCCGAAGAGTAAACATGGTTGATGGTTACTCTGAGTTTTGAAGGATGTTTTCAGCAGCTCAAGTCTAGATGGAGAGAGTCTTCTCAGTTTATTATCATTTTTACTGCTTTCCCTTTGTAATCTTTCATGTTTGTTAAAGCTTTGTTTGCATGTAAGAACTTTTTTATATTTGAATGATTATCTTAATACAATGAGTATGTTTGTCTTGAAGAAATTCATTCGTTTCACTCATATTTTTTCTCAAATTTTAAATTTATTTTCGCATTATGATACCAACTTGTTGCCCATTCTCTTGCCTAAGCAGAGATTGAAGGGAGGATGATGATATGAAAAATGCAAAATCTTTGGTTGTATTATTTTTAATAAAATCTTGTTGAGGATGTACATGCATTGTTTCAAATCCATAAACACCGGAGATATAGGGAAGATAATCCCTTATTAACCCCTTTTGAGCCTTGAAGTAGGAGTTTCTTTTCTATACGAAAAAAACCCTCAATTTTAACCTGGGGCGGGGTAGTTTTCAGTTAATCCAATCGAGTGTTCAAAATTCATAAGGAAGGTATTTCTGAAGAGAAACTGCGATGGCTATGCTTCATATATCATGAGGCCAGAAGATGCAAAACCATAATGGTTATCCTTCATCCATCAAGAAACGAGGTAGTCACAATCCTCTCAACAAGTCAACACAAGCTAATGTCATACATTTTGTTCAAAAATCAAGAAAAAAGAAAGTCCGCTAAGTCGAAAACTCGGAAACAAGAGACTTAGGAAAAACTTAGGGTATCCCGCTGGACTATCAATTCAAAAGAATTAGTTCAGGAAAAAGTTAGGGAAAAAATTGCAAAGAAAGGACTGCAAAGAAAAGTCCACAACCAAGAACAAATTCGTGTGACTATAAACACAAACACAAGAAGGGTGATTGCTACTCTGAAAGCCTTATAACTTCCTTAACCATATCAAAATATTTTTTTGAGAAATGAACACTAGTGTTGAATTAACTGAACATAGGACGGGAGAATATAACGAAGAATGGGTGGGCACCAATAAATTTTGAGCCTTAAAAATATTTTTTCTGAAAACCGTGAACCGGGCCACGTTAGAACCTTCAAAAGTCCTAATTGAAGAAAAGTTTATTTTGAAAGCATACTTCGACGAGATAGCGTTCTTGATTCCCATAAGTTTTGCTAAAATATTTGTGCTGGTATCATATGCTTTTGTTATCTTTCTTTCAAAAGAAATGGTGCACTCATTCGCACTTTGCGACATCTTTTCAAAAAAGTCTTCAAGACTTACATAATTGTTATATTAGAATTTTCATTCTTAGAATAAACTTTTCTGCTTGTAAAAACAATTGCTTAATGTCAAGGAAGCTTACATATAAGCACCAGTAATGATTTTAACCTTTGAAGTCTAAAACTTTGTTAAGTAATTGGAAAATCATTTCTAAGATTGATCATAGCCAGGGGCATGTCGCTTGAAGACCTTCAGCATGAACAAATTGCTGCCTTGATAGTT